ATGTCTTTTATTTTGATGAAATATCAATAACATTACTATTTGATTCATCAAGAAAAAGCGTACAAAATATATCATCCATAAATGTTGGATAATATAAACAAGCTCGTTCAATATCAGGCATAAAATTCATTTCTAATAAATATGGTTGACCATTTTCATCCAGCATTAAATCAATAGCATACATTGCACGTGATCTATGACATGATAACATACCACATGGTGGTTTTTTTAATATAGCACGTTCAAATACTTGATGAATCATTGAAAAAATATTTTCCTTCAAAATATTAAACAAAAAAGAAACAATGAAATAGTCAAATTTCAACTAGTCATGTTTTATTTTCATACTTGAACATCAGACCATTTAAGATGATGATGTTGTTGTTGTTTATCAAATAAAGGTATAAATTCTTCACATGTAATCTTTTTCAAATTTTGTGCATATCGATAATTCATAACCGCTAAAAATTTTGTTTTAGATGAAAAATTTGATTTTAACAGGTCGTTCATAAATAATCGGAAAGTTTGATTTTTCGTTTTTGAAGAATGGAAACACTGTTTAAAGGCACCATTCTAAGCTCATTCTGTAGAAAATTTTGCGCACTACAAAAATGTGAATTTCATTTTTTAAATTAGTTTTTCTTATCAACAAAAAATCGAAAAGATTCACAGCTGCTTTACTACCTAACTACAATCTCCTGCTATTTTCTGTGGACATCTAACGATTTGTGCAAGCTTATGCTCATCAATAGGTAGAGAATTTTATGTTCTATGTTCCCAAGATCTTCTCAAAACTCCTAATGGTGCCGTTCAGATGTAAAACACTTGGAACTAACATCTGATGGTATGTTATTTTGAATGCGTTTTCGAAACTTCTATTTTCAAAAGTTACCGTGCTCTATGAATGATGTCATCAGATGCAAGATTTAATTCTGAACAAAATGATGCAACATGTAAATTGAACAACAAAAATCTTTAGCATTTCACATCGTATCTTATAGCAAATTTCGAATTTCAACGGAACTGTTATTTAAACATATTTTTATTAAGTATTTTACTTTCGGACAGTCTCAGTTCATTGGCTGTCAATCTTTTCAATTTTTCTGCTCCAGAAGAAGAGCAAAATAGATAGTTTTGTAGAGCGAAAAATTCTTTATCGAATAAGATTAGAAATGGTGTCTTTAAATTGTGTTTTTTTCTTCAGGAAAAAAAAAGAAAAAATCAAAGTATTCCATTCTTTATGAGCCATCCGTTATTTACTTACTGAAATGAACTTGATAATCATCATAATTATTATCTAATGAATAAGGTCTAAAATAAATTAAATTAATATTTACAGAAAAAAAACTTTTCTCTATTCTTTACTTATTTGCAAAACGAAGCCAAAATTTTTTATAAACATAAACTTTTAATGGTTCTAATGAACGTAATAAAACAATATAACGAATATCAAATTTAACTAAACCACTATCTTCACGATCAAATAATAAAGGTTTATCAATATATTTGCAAACAATCTAATTAGAAAAAAAAGGAACTGTGTTTTTGATTAAAAATAAATTTAATATTTTACTTTTGGACCTGATTCAGCTAATCGAATAATAGCATTAAGATTTTTCGTTACATGTGTATCGATTGATCGTGCTAAATTAAATGGTTTAACAATCCAATGATTATCTAAATTTCTATTATTAAATTCAAAATGAAATTTTCATTGAAAAACTATTCTTAAAAAACACCAAATTCCTTACTTTTGTTCTCGATGTTGAAAATAGGAAATAAATTTTGGTAATTCATATGTTAAATTAAATGTTGTTGGTAACCATAATGGATATGATTGAAGTGTTTCATTATCAATTGGTAATGATGTTCGACGACAAATAACCGCTAAAAGATCTTTAATATTAATTACATTTTCAAACGGATATTGATTTATGAATTGTTGTGTATTTTCACATAAATTTCTAAGAAAATAATCAATTGACAAAAAAAAAATCAAATATTACTTTTTTTTTATTATTTACTTAAAATCTTTAAAATGTTTTCTTGTAAAAATAATATCGGCTTGAGATAAATCTTCAACTAATTGAAAACGTTTATCAATTAAATGATTACGAACAAGTTCAATATCAGTATAGACATTAATTGTTCGATTGAGTTTAGTTAAATCAATTCTAGGATAATTATCAGATGATGGAAGACTTTCATTTTCTCGTCCTGTCTATGTAATATTTAAAAAACAAAATTAACAATAATATGATTCAATAAATGGAAAATAAATATAAAAATACATTAAAATATTGTTCATTTGGTTCTGTTTGTTGATAATCAATATCTCCTGATAGATCATCTTCAGTCCAAGGAACAAGTTTAGCACGTCGTATTACTTCATCATGTATTCCACAGACATAATCAACAGTAACTGATTCTAAAAATATTTCAGAAAAATATGAGTTACACATTATATCATTTTATAGAAAAAAAAACAATAAATAAAAATTGAGTCAAAAGTTTCTAAACAAAATATTTGATCGTTTTTCGTGTATTTAAATGCATTTAAAAAGAGTGAAAACTTGTGTATTAGAAGTAGAATTTTGCGCTCTTTTAGAATATATGCTTGAAATTTTTCGGTCTGACTTTTGAATATTGACTTATAAGTAAATCTTGATAGAACTAAAAAAATTTTCTGAAGACAAGTCTACATCAAATAAGTTCTGTAAGTATATTGTACCTTCAAGATGATCTCTGCTCTATAAAATCACACAAGAATGGAAAGTTTTGGTTAATCTGCTAAAAAATGACAGAAGGTCATTTTTCTCACGATAGACTTTATAAAAGTCTTCGCTGTATCTTTGCAAAAAATTTTATTCAAATATACCATTCTATTGGGAATTATTTTTTGCATCTTCTGATATATTTGATTAAATATTGTGACACATCTGGAACAAGTTTCATTCGAAGTATTTACCTCCAATAACAAATTTTAAAGTCTTTTCAAGATTCATTTATAGTTCAATAGTCAAAAGTCACCGACAAATTCTAAGTATATATTCTAAAAGAGTACAAAATTCTAATTCTAATACACTACTTCTCATTCTTGTTTCAATGCATTTAAATACACGACAGATAGTCAAATATTTTTTCTAGAAACTTTCGATGCATCCCTTAATTTTTCTCAACTTTGCATATATATATATATAATCTTTCTCTCTAAATTATTTTATCGAAAAATATTCTTCTTAGTTACATACCATTACATTTAATATCTTTAATAAGCCATAATAATGTATACATTTGTCCATCAATCATTGAAAGAAAAGGTACCAATCGAACATTAGCTTGATCAGAATGTTCAATAGCCGAACCAAATTCATCTCGAATATACCAATAAGGTTCACGATCTTCAGCATTACCTTCATTAGTAGCTAATGTATATGTATGATTAAATTTCCACATATGTTCAATAATAGCATTAATTTTATTTTCTTCATCTGATGATATTAACATTAATCGAGAAAGTCGTTCGACTAAGTCAGGTAATTGTTCAAGTTCATTTCGAATATTATTTATTCGATAAGTATATGCATGATCAATAAGAAAGATCCTGTAACAAAAAAAAAAGAAAGAAAAAATACGATATTTCAATAAAAGATATCGTTTTAACTAACATTGAAGGATCATCTTTGAGTAGATTATGTTCACTAGTTACACATACTCTACGTTGAACAGTTTCACCTTCATCATTTTCCACTTCAGTTATACCAAAATAGTCACCAGCATCAAAAATCTATTATTCAAATAAATTAGATTAATCATACATGTTTTTTTTTTCTGATTATTAATTAACCTGCTTTTTAAGTTTATCAAATAGAGTAGGATAGAATAATTGAGGTACACCAGATAATTCAAGTTGTGATCGATGTAAATCAACAAAACTATTTAGTAAATTTCCACTGACAAGTACGTCACCATGTTCAACATGATTATATTCCATATCTATCTGAAAAAAACACACACACACACACAACATAGATCAAATAAACATTTGTCTATTAAACATCTTTATACTTCCGTTTACTATCAAACTTTTTAAGGATCAATAAATACTATATAGATGTAAGAACTTTTTCTTTTAATATATAACTCCATATGAAAACTAATATATATTGAAAATAAAATGAAAATCATCTATAGTGACATAATAACCTATTTATTGATCAAATTTTATTGCATAGAATATGTAGCAAATAATTTCTATCCATTCACACAGTATGTTGATCTTTCTAGAAGCACGTTTTATAACAATATAAAAAAAATAGATCAATAGTTCTAATAGTGCAACACATGTGCTCCTAATGATTCCAAAAAAAAAACAACATTTTTAGCGATGATTTTTTGGTACAAGAACAACACTCAATAAAAATGCTATTGTAAAACCCATTCCAAAATAAATATGTCCATCAATATGTCTTTTTATATCACTCCATAACCATTCTAATTCTTGATTGAAATCATTACGTGGATCACGCAAATCTCTGTGTATATTTCGTTGTAAATCATTAAATCTTGATCTAATATCTCTACGAGTTGTTAATTGATTATAAGTTAAATGTGTTATATGTGCTTTTAAATAATTCAAATGATATGCAATATCAATTAAACCAAGTGAAGTAAATGCTAAATATGAAAGAACATATTGACCTTTACTTATAAATATTCCAATAGTACCACCGGATAATATTCCTGAACATAATTGTTTAATAATTGATTCAGTTGAAACTTGAGATGACATTGATAAAATCTAGAAATTCAATGTAGTTACATTCTTGTTTTGTTTTATTTTCTCACCAATAAGAATATGATAGTATAATAGACAAAAATCTGAATGAAAAAACAAACGAGACAAAAACACAAACGAAATAATCAAACATATATTGTGACAAAATTTTAGATTAGATACAAAAAAAAAAATATTAAATAAATATTAAAAAACAAAAAAATTATGTTGTTGATGTAGCAGATAAAATACCACCATCCCAAACTGTTTTTTGTTCTTCTTTGTCACGAATTTTTTGTTCTAGACAAAAAAAGAAATAAGCATTTAATTTTTTTCTTATTTAAAAATAAAAATAAACATAATTATATATATATATATTTACGTCTAGCTGTTTCAATTTTTTGTCGTTCAGTTTTAGTTTTATCACTACTCATCGGATTTTTTAAACCCAATGCAGCACATATACGACGATTAGCTGTTAATGATGATGTTTGCGGTCGAGTTTTATACGGTTGAAGAAATTCTATATACCATCAGAATAATAAAAAAAGAAAAATATATATATATATATATATTAATTAAAAAAGAAGATAAATAATATATGATATACCAAGTGAATTTTTTGCTTTTTTCTTCGATGCAGATGATGCTTGAGACATCGAACAAACTTTTAACAGAGGATGTTCCATTTGAAGCGCATCCAAAGCTAAATTATCATTAATATTTATTTAATACATGCACTTCACCAAGAGCGTATATAGATCATCGAAACTGCAGCACTGTTATTACTTAATTACAAAGGAAGTTATGATGAATGGACTTGTTTTTGTTATCAGTCTCATAACTCTGGAAAGAAAGAATATTTTATATCAGTCGACTCCTCAATACGTAATTCTATGTCTCAGCTATCTATATTATTATTTTCATTGAAGTTCGTTAATCCTTTCAAAGACTATGCTCATTATTGTAGAGAGAAAGAGAGATCATTTACTCTGATAGTTCAAACTTTTTAAAAAACTTCCGCTACAGTTAAATATTATTACTTATAAGTTTCAGAAGCAAATCTTGAATTAAAGTAAAATAGAACATAGATGATAATCTTGCTAGTTCCAAAGACCCAAAAAACATCAATATTCAAGTAAATAAACTTATCTTTTAAATGAAGCATGATCGTAAACGAGATTGCAGCTACATATGAAAATATAAGAAACAATGAAAAATTTTGTTGGCAGTCTTTGTTTTTAGGTTATAATGCCCAGAGCAGAAAAACAGATGTCGTTCATCATAACTCTCTTATAATGACGTCACAATGCCAATGATCTACATTCTTGGTAAAGTATATGTATACAAATTTTTAGACTTCCAGCACATACAGCGGGCAAGATCGTCTGAGACACAGAGCCTATTGACCACTACTGTAAATGAAATAATTTTTTATTTACCCATATTAGCATCTGGAAAAACGATCAGAGCATGTGTTTCATCAACCCATTTTATATCGAATATACTTCGACTATTTATAATTATAAATAAAATAAGATATATATTTGAAATATTATATATATAGAATAATTTATACGTAAGTGTTTTGAATGCATTTGAAAGATCTTCACTACGAAATGTTGATGGAAAATTTGATACTTCAACTACATGAGCTAAATCAGCTTCTTTTATTTGTATATCATCGACTGACCATTGAGAATAGTCATTTGTTGGTTTTTTTATCTGAACACTTTCTTTGAATTTTGTTTGAATCTTAAGAACAAAACAAAACAAAACATTTTTTTTTGAAATTAAAGAAAAAGAATTTTTTTCAAGTTTTACTTCTTCAACAGGGTCATTATATAGAGGATTTTCATTACTATCTAATATTTTTTCCCATTCCTCTTCTTCTTCTTCTTCTTCTTCTTCCTCCACTTCACCATCTTCTTTTTTATTTTCAGGAGTGAATGATGCAGATGAAGATAAAGGTGAAAGTAGTTCTTTGTTCACCAGTTGACTACGTCTGGACGGTGGAACATAAGGTTCAGCTGATGGACGAGCTGTTTTACTTTTCGTCGACTTAGTTGTACTATTATTTTGTTGAACTTCTTCAGGTGACGTCGTCGATGGCGGCGGTGCTGGTGGTGGTGTAGCAATTGGACTAGAATTCTCGGAATTTTTATTTCGACGTGGTGGCTTATATAAAGCTTGATCTGGACGACGTCTAAAATAATAAATAACTTTTTATTATTCAAAACCAAGACAAACACATACTTCGTTGAAGATTCACCGTTTGAAGGGACTAGCGTTGTGGTTGATGGTGTTCTGAAATGATGAAAATGAAATAATATTATGGGTAAATGAAATATTTAAGAAAAAGCGTTCGAGCCCATTGAATTCAATTTCTCTTTGTATAGAAGCAATTTGAACTCGAAATATTTTTTTCTGAAACAGAGTATCCGATGACAAAGCATATTCATTTCTAATATTGAGTTTAAAATGTCTCTTTTGAACTTAATGTCATTTCATCGATGTGTTGATGTAAATAAAGTATTCAAGAGACTATAGATTAAAAAAAAATGATTCGATCAAATAGTTTGGTTTACTTCCTTGTACGATCTTCTACATTATCTCAACAGAAGCATTTTTACCTCAAGAAAAAAAGTAAAAGAGTAAATCAATTTATTAATTTATTGATTTATGAAAGCATATTTATAGCTGAAATCTTAATAGATAAAGAAGATCAATCGATTGAAAATTGCGCAATTGATTAACTTTTTAAGTACAAGATTATTTTTAAAATAAAGACAATGAAAACTTTCAAAATTCGAAACAAATGTTTAATCCATTGATTACCGACCAAAGATAAACATACATGAAAAAAGAGTGGTTGTACACTGCATACACTTATTTTTCTTACTGCATGAGTTTAACATGAGTCGTAACAAAAATGATGATGTAGAAAGTTCCTATTGCTTGATGTTGACATTAACTCAGATGAATGTAATAATCGTACGCTATAAGTGATTGAATTAATTTCGATATGTACCGTTGATAATCAATGGGTTAACTTATAATTAATCTCATAATGAAATATACAGTTCAAAATGGTTGCAGAACGCGATAGTCTACGAAAAAAAAAAACTACAATACATAATCTCATATCTCATTTCATATATTCATAAGTATCTCTTCCTTCACTTAGGTCTCTTCATAGTTGCAAATTCTAGGCTACGAGTTCGTGTCGTTCATACTCAAAGAATTAATTAAGTATGTTCAAGTACAATGTTGATAATATTAATCGAAAATCGACAAGATTTATATTGATCTATTTTGAATTTTTATATTAAAAGAGTGACTCATATTAATGAAGTCAACTTTTTTTGTTTCCAGAGAACTAAAAAAATATCTAAATATTCTTACATATTTATTTCATCCATAACTTGTGATTTCAAACAAATTATTGCTCGACGAGTAGTTTTTTCTTCACCGATAGAAAAACTAAATAGATTAGAATAATTTTTCTCACGAAGACGATGTAATAATAATCGATGTCGTGATGATAAAGGTGGAAAAAGAAGAATACTGTAAAAGAAATAAATAATAATTAAATTTTAATACTATCATTAAATAATATCAAAATAAAATAAAAATATGAACACACACAAGGACGAATCATTCAATAGATTGTATTTGTCTAATTCATCAGTAATTAAATCAAGAAATTTATCATCATCAGATGTCAAATAACAACCATACATTTTTCGTGTCTTTTCTAATTAATATCTATAAAAATGATATTTATTGTTTATTTCATAAGCATTGATTTTTATTTTATTCGTAGATTAAAAAAAAAAAACAAAAAAAGATATACTTGGTAATACATAAAATTACGTTTTCTTTTCTTTTTCTTCTACAAAAGCATTTTGCGACAATTCATTAATGCACAACATTAAAAAAAAACTAAAAGTAAGAGATCTTAATTACTAACACGACAAAAAAGAAAATGAGCTCGAATAAGTTTTTTTTCTGATTTTCATTTCCTTTAACTGTTCATCTTACAATCTGACTTACGCATACACAGACAAAAAAAAAATCAAAAAAGAAAACATAAGAAAAAGAAATTTTTTATTTTTCTTAATGTGAATTCATTTTCCTCGTTAAATTAAGCGAAACTAATGAAGGAAATTCGAATTATAAACAGAAAATTAAAAAGAGGTTATCATAACCTGAGTCTAGAATAAAAAATAGATGAGAATATATCCATAAAAAGAAAATATATATATAGGACGCTATTGTTAGTTGTGTTTAGAACATGAGAGAAAAAAAAAACAGAGAAGAATTAAATTGAGGTAAACTATTAGACGGAAATAACATATTGATCCTAAAATGAATATAAATAAATATAATATTTATTAAGAAACAAAACAAATAACAAACGAGATTATTTTTGTTCAATAAAATAAGATCATCATCACTGTCGAATTCATTTGTTACATGTTATCATTCGAATGTGTCTGTCATCCTAAATAAATGAAATATCATATGATCATTTTTTTTGTTCTAAAATTACAAAATTTAATAACAATAAAAATTAATTTATGATTTAGAATTGCACTGAAGATTAAATAGAATGTTGGGTAAGTTGAACAAACAACAAATACGTACTACTAATCCAAAGTTGTTGTTCGAGATTTTGCTTCAAAAAATATGTTTTTCCAATAGTATAGAAGTCAACGATACAAATAACTATTCAACTTTCTTCGTTATCTTTATAATTGCTTTATCAAAACTTTTTTTATCATGTTCTTTTCTGGTAACATTTATACCTGTACTTTTTTTTTTACTGAATTCTTTCATTGAGTAATACAAAGTTTAAATTATCCGTAGCTTATCTATTCTAAATAAACGAAAATCGATAGCTATCTATCTATCTCCAGTTTTAATACTTCGATAAAATTTTATGCAAGTAAACATTTGCATTCAGTTTTTTTATTAGTGCAAAAGTCACATCAACATGAGATTGAATTGATTGGTTATCTATAGTGACATTCTCTATGATGTTTGTCGAAATATAATTTTATTGATTTTTATCAATATACAGTTAATAACATTGTTTACATGAGAAAAGAACTTACATTGATTGTTTAGAATATTTTCCAGTATTTGTTGTTGTATCTTTACGCATAGAAAATCGTCGAGCTAATTGATTAAATTTTTCCATTGAGTCTTTAGAAAAACAGAAAGAAAAAGATTTTCTAAACATGATTACATATGTAATTTATTACTTTTTCCCATATTTTTTAATCGACTAATAAATTCTTCATTACTTTCTAGTCGTAATGGATCAAATTCACTAACATTTGGTGCAGGTGGAATTGGAATTGGTTCATGATTATCTTTAGACAAGAAAAATCCAAAAAAAAAAAATAATTTACTGATTTTTGTTCAAAAATACCTTTTCCATAAGAATAACTTTCATTTTGAGTAATAGATTCTTCTGGAACCATTGATGCTAATATTAGGAAATAAAAAAAAACAGTTGATTAATTAAGATATTATTTTCTTTTTTTTTTTTTTTTTACTTTTCTTTGTTTGTCCTTGTTCAATTTGTGTAAGAACATTTTGAAGCATTCTTGCACGAACTTTTGGTGTTTTAAGTGTTTCAATAGTGGGAGGTGTTGGTAATGGTAATGGTTTTGTACTTAAATAACTAAATGATCGACGTTGTTGAGATGATGATGTTGATTGAATCGGTTGATCTAAATATTTATTTTGTTTGTTTGTTTATAAAATCAAAATAATGTAAAATTAAACCTGAATGAAGAGTTGTTAAAAAATCTTTGTTATGTCGAAGTTCATTTAAGAAATCTTCGTTTTGAAAAAGTTCATCAAAATGTTCATCATCAGCATATCGTAATGTTTTGCCATTTTCTCCAAACATATCGTCCTTTTGTTTTTTTTTTCATAATGAAAATTATTAAAATATTAAAAAAAAAAGAAATAATTTTTCATACTTTTGATTGATTTGTAATTTCAAATTTTGATAATAATTTTACTCGAAGAAAATCATTAGGCAAATCTCCAATATAACAAGTACGATATTGATCATAAGCTGTTTTCCATTTTCGTACTTGAAGTTCTTGCTGTAAATTTGTACTAAGAAAACAGCGTAATACAAAAAAAAAAAAAAGATAGAAAGAATATTTGCTATATACTCTTTTGAAAAATGCGTATTGTCTGATTGATTATAGTTTATTGATGATTGACCATTAGATGATGAACGTTGTGGAAGAAAAGGCATTGTTGTTGAACGTTGATTAGCTAGTGCATCATGACCAGGATCTACAATGAAGAATAAAAGTTATTCATACTAATAAAACGAAAAAGAATTAATTTACAAGGTGGTGGATCATCATCATATATATTAGGAACAGCTGGTAATTGTCGAAGTGGTGTTGTTGGTGTTACCTAAAATATTTAAATGTATAGTTAAATAAATAGAATTAATTTTTATACTTGTTGAATATTATTTTCATTTTCAGTATCAATTGACATTGTAAGTAAATGATCAATTGTTATATCAACTTGACCATTATTAGCTGCCAAAACACTTTCGATTACAGTTGAATCTAAGTTGGAAAACATTCGACGTAATTCGGCCACAGTCGCTGATCTTGATGATGCGGTGGCCATATTATATAATAATAATATATGTTTCTTTAATCAATACAAAATAAATCTTTATTTTAAATCTCTCCTTGATTTAACTTTTGAAAAGCGTCTTTTATTTCATCACATTTACCGAGTAAGTAGTAGGTTTATTGACCTCCAAAGGAGTTGGCTAAAAATATAAACCAATCTGAATAAATTCATATAAAATTAGCAATTGGCGCTACTTGGAAATGAACATTTCCATAACTTTTAGCGACATTATGTTTGAATAGTACGAGGTCCTAAGAGAATCGATCGATCGTGTTGAATGGTTCTTCTGTCTATTATTTAGCTTGTTTTTTTTTTCTTCTATTGTTGATTCTTTTTTTTCTTTGTGTTTGAGAAAGGTTATCAAAAAATAATCTTTTCTTTTTAATATGTTTTCTTGCAACTAATTAATTCTTATCTTTTGTAGATCAAATGGCGACTCGTGCAGCTGCATGTAAGTATATATATAACATTAAAATAATTAGATTTCTTATGTTTATATATATATATATATATATTTTATTTAGTTTCATCGAAAATTCGAACTCTTAATGATTATTATAATAATATACTTACAGGTGTAACACCATTACCGACTACAAATGATATTGTATCTGTTCTTGATCATTTTTCTAAAACTCTTCTTAGGTAAAAACAGAAAACCAAAAGATAATGATTATAATTAAATAAAATTTCCTATTCTTCTAGTGTATTAAAAGAAATGACAATTGATCAAAATCAAGAACAAACAAGTGGTAAACATTCATATCGTATTAGTAAATATCCAACATTAAATTATTCATCACTTTATCATTCATTAATTAATCTTATTGATGTTGTACCATTATTGCAAGTTGGTGATGCTGAAGTAGCAGAATCAATTATAAATACACTTGGTTGTTTAGCACCATTTTTACCTTATGAATTACTTGATGCATTACCATATACATTTGCAACAACATTAACTATATTTCCATCTTCTGTTAAAAAGAAAATACTTGATACATTATGTAATACACTTTTACCTATTAATATGGGTATGAAATAGAATTAAAAAAAAAAGATTGTTTTTTATATTTTAATTTTGATAATTTTCTTTTTTTTTTTTGTTTTAGCTTATACAGAATATCCAGAACATTCAATGACATTAAATTCCATAGCATCAATTCTTTTTATTGTTTTTGAAAATAGTGAAAGCGATAGTAAGTAAAAATTTTGTTTTATTAATAACAAAAACGAAAAGAAAAGAAGAAATAAGTTGATGAGATAAAATTTAAAAAAAAAATAATTATTAATTTACAGATTATCCTGCTCAAATTATGGAATGTTTATTGAGTTTAAAAGCGGATTTAATTTATGTGAGTTTTTCATAATAGATATGTCAAGTGTATTTTTTTTTGTTGTATTCGCATCGCACGATGCTATTGTGTGTATGTGTGTATGCTTTTATGTATATATTTATGGGCTTTTGATGGAATGCAAGAAAGATAAGGAAATGAAGCATGGTTAGAACTATAAAAAAAGAAAATAAATCATCTCGATTATCAGTTTCATATGTAATTAAACATTCAGAACTTATTAAGATTTTCAGATTGCATTTAGATGGATACTGTTTGTTTAATTTGAGTGACTCCTATGTAATGAAAGTTCACATCGTTATTAATAATTATCGATTGAAATCATTGCTTTATTACCAAACAATTCAGAGAGAGAAAAGATATTTGTTTATTTTTACTTTTCAACTGAAATATCAATGATTGAATTTTTTTTTCTTTCTTTTGAATTATTATATATACATTTGTATGTACATGTTATTTTGTATTTATTTCAAAAATGATCCATTTTTATGGGTATCAAGAGAACATAAACAATAATGTAAAGAAGAAAAATATTCTATGACTATGAGGTTAAGCCTAAACATGCCTTTTTTTGAAAGTCGATTATTTTCTATAACCGATAAACTACGCAACTCTGTACCAAGGCGGTAGTCTCACTCAAAACTCTTGTCGTTCGACTATTCGAACTCTGCATGCATGTAGTACCAGCCTTGTTATTATCA